TATATTATTAGTTATAATATTAATTAAGCACATTATTAGCGATTATAGATTAATATAATTGATTTGTATCTATATATTACTATATAATACTACTATATAATACTATACAATATACTATTATATAATACCATGTAGTATAATATATTATACTATATCATAATATATTGATTTGTATAATAAGATTTGTATAATAAACATAGTACTATACTACTATATAATATAATACTACTATTCAATATAATACTATATAATACTATACAATATACTACTATATAATACTATTCAATATAATACTGTATAATACTATACAATATACTACTATATAGTATAATATATTGATTTGTATAATAAACATAGTACTATACTACTATATAATACTATATAATACTATACTACTATACTACTATATAATACTATATAATACTATACAATATACTACTATATAATACTATATAATATACAATACTATACAATACAATATAATACACTATAATACTATATAATACTATACAATATAATACTACATAATACTATATAGTATAATACTATTATATAATATATTATAGTACATTATATTGAGTCAGAGTGAAAGAAGAGAACATTTGCCTCATTAAAAAGCAATTAAACATCGTGCCTGTGGATTGTGTTTTACAGGAGGATGTTGCGGTTCGATGAAGAAGAGGACCATCGTCGGCGGCTACGCGTTCACGTGGTGGTTCGTCACCGACGTGCAGCGACTGTCGCTCGAGGTTATGACATTGAATCCCGTATGCGAGAACGTGGAAACTGCACAAGGTGTACCACTGACCGTCACTGGTGTAGCACAGTGCAAGATCATGAAGGCTGACGAGCTTTTACACACTGCCAGCGAACAATTTTTAGGGAAGAGCGTTTACGAAATCAAATCGACCATTCTATCTACCCTGGAAGGTCATCTTCGCGCGATATTAGGTAAATTTTTACCTCCCAGTTTCTCAGAGTGTCGGCAACTTTTTTAGTAGAATGAAAGTTGCACTTGAAAATATTCGGGCATTTGCAATTTGCAATTATACAAATATATACAAATATTTGTATATTAATATATTAATATATTTGTATAATTATTATATTGATATACTAATATATTTGTATAATTAATGTATTGATTTATTAATATATTTGTATAATTAATATATTAAGTGATATAAATTTTATTTTTATTAAATTATATAAATATAATTATATATAAATTTTTTATAATTTTATATAAACATAATATATTCTTCGAAACATTGAATGAATATACTTGTAACAGTAATAAAACGAAACAATATACGGGTCGATCAAATCAAGAACTTATACAGTTTGATCATTGATACTTTTTTTTAAGAAAATGCGAACGAACATACTTTACTGATATATTATCATTCATATTATTTATTAATTTATTTAATATACAATATATAATTATATTATTAAATGTTACATATTATTACTATTATATATCATTGATACTATATATCATAATTATTATTAATTAACTATATATACGTAATATCGCGATAATAGTAAATAAAACTTGTAGTTAAATTTCGCTTAATTAAACTTGTAACTCATCGATTGTGTGTCGAAATCGACAAGCTGAATAATTGCCGAAGTTCTCAATTTTCTGCGGCTAGATTTCTGAATAAATGAGTCTCGAACAAAGATCGTGGGGGAAACTTTCAGGCACGCTATCGGTGGAGGAGGTGTACAAAGATCGAGATCAATTCGCGACGCTGGTGAGAGAGGTAGCCGCGCCGGATGTTGGCCGCATGGGCATCGAAATTCTATCGTTCACGATAAAGGATGTCTACGATGATGTTCAGTACTTGGCGTCGCTTGGCAAGGCACAGACAGCGGCTGTTAAACGGGACGCCGACGTAGGCGTCGCCGAGGCGAACCGCGACGCTGGTATCCGGGTACGTTCAACATTTGGCGGATCGATTTTCAAGGCTGACTTCCAGATTCGCGAGAAAAAAATTCTACATTCACGAGATAATTCTAAGTTCCTCGAAAGAAAATTCTAAATTTACGAGAGAATTCTAAATTCGCGAGAAAATTCTAAATTTTCTCGAAAAAAAAATTCTACATTCACGAGAAAATTCTACACTTCTCGAAAAAAAATTCTAAATTCACGAGAAAATTCTATATTTCTCGAAAAAATTCTAAATTTCTCGAAAAAAAATTCTACATTCACGAGAAAAGTCTAGATTTCTCGAAAAAAATTCTAAATTAACGAGAGAATTCTAAATTCACGAGAAAATTCTACATTTCTCGAAAAAAATTCTACATTCACGAGAAAATTCTACACTTCTCGAAAAAAAATTCTAAATTCACGAGAAAATTCTACATTTCTCGAAAAAAAATTCTAAATTTCTCGAAAAAAAATTCTACATTCACGAGAGAATTCTAAATTCACGAGAAAAGTCTAGATTTCTCGAACAAAAATTCTAAATTCAGAAGAGAATTCTAAATTCACAAAAAAATTCTAAATTTCTCGAAAAAAAATTCTACATTCACAAGAGAATTCTAAATTCACGAGAAAAGTCTAGATTTCTCGAAAAAAAATTCTAAATTCACGAGAGAATTCTAAATTCACGAGAAAAGTCTAGATTTCTCGAAAAAAAATTCTAAATGTACGAGAGAATTCTAAATTCACTAGAAAAGTCTAGATTTCTCGAAAAAAAATTCTACATGCACGAGAGAATTATAAATTTACGAAAAAATTCTACATTTACGAGAGAATTCTAAATTCACGAGAAAAGTCTAGATTTCTCAAAAAAAAATTCTAAATTCAGGAGAGAATTCTAAATTCGCAAAAAAATTCTAAATTTTTCGAAAAAAAATTCTAAATA